GTAGCTTGCTTGAGTTGAAAATTTTTGGCCGATTGAAAATCGTTTGCACTCTGATCACCACTCATCAGTTAATTATTGATAAGGCCAAATGTAACAACTTCTTAGAGAGATGATACAGACAATCACATGTGCGAGTTGCCGACTTTTAACAGTTGATTCCATAATTCAATTTCTAGTCATTGATACAGATAGGTCTCATATAATCATGTATAGGCTTTATTTGATTGGCCCAAGTATGAGCTACTCCTAAGTGGTAGATAGGCCTGGCAATTACTGACACGACCCGATAACCCGACACGACACGACCCAAAATTAACAGGTGTTTGAGTCGACACGATAACGAATCGGGTATTATCGGGTAACCCGATAAGCACCTGTTAAGATAACGGGTTGGGTCGGGTATACACGTGGGTAACACGATACACGATAAGCAGAATATTAATTTAATAATTTTATAACCCTAAAAAATACTATAATAATTATATATAATAATTTAACAATTTTATACCCCTAAAAAGTTTAAAACTATAATTATATATATATATATATATTAAATTAACTATAATAATTATATATACTATAATAATTATACCCCCAAAAAATATTAACTATAATAACTATATATATATATAAAATATTATATATATATATATATTAAATTTTAAATTAAATTTTATACCCCTAAAAAAACTATAATAATTATACGTACAAAATAAATAGATTTAAATCTACATAATAAATATATATATATATATATATACACACACCATTGAACTTGATGGGATACACGAAACTAATTTCAACGATCAAACCGTCAAACTTGTTTGTATATGCTTCGAGATCGCATATGCCAAAAATCACAAAAAACAAACATTCAGAGATCAAGTAATGAGGCAAAACATTTTGACGGTGATAAAAAACAAAAAATCACGATTTAACGGTTATTTTAACTTCGATTTTGATGATTTTTTACAAGTACACTTTTTGACCCTATACAAATACAATGAATGAATTCGATCGTCAATTTAAAATATTTACACATGTGGATACCACAAAATCTTATGTTATACTTAATGAAAGTATAAATAAACTCTAAGTGTTAGTGAATCTATCGTTTTTATGGAATACGAATTCTATGAAACTAATTTCAACGATCCAACCATCAATCTTGTTTGTATATGCTTCGAGATCGCATACGCCAAAAATCACAAAAAACAAACATTCAGAGATCAAGTAATGAGACAAAACTTTTCGACGGTTATAAAACAAAAAATAACGATTTAACGGTTATTTTAACTTCGATTTTGATAATTTTTTACAACTACACTTGTTGACCCTATACGAATACAATGAATGAATTCGATCGTCAATTTAAAATATTTACACAAGTGGATACCACACAATCTTATGTTATACTTAATGAAAGTATAAATAAACTCTAAGTGTTAGTGAATCTATCGTTTTGATGGGATACGAATTCTATGAAACTAATTTCAACAATCCAACCGTCAATCTTATTTGTATATGCTTCGAGATCGCATACGCCAAAAATCACAAAAAAAAAACATTCAGAGATCAAGTAATGAGACAAAAAATTTCGACGGTTATAAAACAAAAAATCACGATTTAACGGTTATTTTAACTCCGATTTTGATGATTTTTTACAACTACACTTGTTGACCCTATACGAATACAATGAATGAATTCGATCATCAATTTAAAATATTTACACAAGTGTATACCACAAAATCTTATGTTATACTTAATGAAAGTATAAATAAACTCTAAATGTTAGTGAATCTATCGTTTTGATGAGATACGAATTCTATGAAACTATAATTTCAACGATCCAACCGTCAATCTTGTTTGTATATGCTTCGAGATCGCATATGCCAAAAATCACAAAAAAAATAAACATTCAGAGATCAAGTAATGAGACACAAAACTTTTCGACGGTTATAAAACAAAAAATCACGATTTAACGGTTTTATTTTAACTTCGATTTTGATGATTTTTTACAAGTACACTTGTTGACCTTATAAGAATACAATGAATACATTCGATCGTCAATTTAAAATATTTACACAAGTGGATACCACAAAATCTTATGTTATACTTAATGAAAGTATAAATAAACTCTAAGTGTTAGTGAATCTATCGTTTTGATGGGATACAAATTCTATGAAACTAATTTCAACGATCCAACGGTCAAACTTGTTTGTATATGCTTCGAGATCGTATACGCAAAAAATCACAAAAAATAAAACATTCAGAGATCAAGTAATGAGACAAAACGTTTCGACGGTTGTAAAACAAAAAAATCACGATTTAACGGTTATTTTAACTTCGATTTTGATGATTTTTTACAACTACACTTGTTGACCCTATACGAATACAATGAATGAATTCGATCGTCAATTTAAAATATTTACACAAGTGAATACCACAAAATCTTATGTTATACTTAATGAAAGTATAAATAAACTCTAAGTATCTATCGTTTGGATGGGATACGAATTCTATAAAACTAATTTCAATGATCTAACCGTCAATCTTGTTTGTATATGTTTCGAGATCGCATATGCCAAAAATCACAAAAAACAAACATTCAGAGATCAAGTAATGAGACAAAAATTTTTAACGGTTATAAAAACAAAAAATCACGATTTTAACGGTTATTTTAACTCCCGATTTTGATAATTTTTTACAACTAAACTTGTTGACCCTATACGAATACAATGAATGAATTCGATCGTCAATTTAAAATATTTACACAAGTGATATACCACAAAATCTTATTTTTTATACTTAATGAAAGTATAAATAAACTCTAAGTGTTAGTGAATCTATCGTTTTGATGGGATACAAATTCTATGAAACTAATTTCAACGATCAAACCGTCAAACTTGTTTGTATATGCTTTGAGATCGCATACGCCAAAAATCACAAAAAACAAACATTCAGAGATCAAGTAATGAGACAAAACTTTGCGACGGTTATAAAACAAAAAATCACGATTTAACGGTTATTTTAACTTCGATTTTGATAATTTTTTACAACTACACTTGTTGACCCTATACGAATACAATGAATGAATTCGATCGTCAATTTAAAATATTTACACAAGTGGATACCACAAAATCTTATGTTTTACTTAATGAAAGTATAAATAAACTCTAAGTGTTAGTGAATCTATCGTTTTGATGGGATACGAATTCTATGAAACTAATTTCAACGATCCAACCGTCAAACTTGTTTGTATATGCTTCGAGATCGCATACGCCAAAAATCACAAAAAACAAACATTCAGAGATCAAGTAATGAGACAAAACTTTTCGACGGTTATAAAACAAAAAATCACGATTTTAACGGTTTTTTTTAACTCCGATTTTGATGATTTTTTACAACTACACTTGTTGACCCTATACGAATATAATGAATGAATTCGATCGTCAATTTAAAATATTTACACAAGTGGATACCACGAAATCTTATGTTATACTTAATGAAAGTATAAATAAAGTCTAAGTATCTATGGTTTGGATGAGATACGAATTCTATGAAACTAATTTCAATGATCCAACCGTCAATCTTGTTTGTATAATTTGAATGGTTTTTAATGTTTGGTTTTTCTATACTTAGTTTATGCGGAAGAGAGTTCTGACGTAAAAAACCTTACCGAAAACATCATCAACAGAACTCTTGAAGGCAATAGATCAAGCCAAAGTTCCAATATAATTTCCCCATGATGATCGATGAAAATTGAGGATTTTGTAAAAGAAATAACATTCAAACTTTGAGTTCTATTGGCAAGGTTTAAACTTTTGAGAAAGGCTTCACAACCTTGAAAACAAAAACTCTTTCATTTTGCATATCCTTGCACATTTAATATTTTGTAATAGACTAGTGTATGGATGTTTTTTTATTAGGCTCTTATTTTCGAGTGTAGATTTAGTACTTAAATGACAAATATGTTTTAATGTTTTGAAGTAATTTTTATGTGGTAATGTGTGGTATGTGCAAATTTAAGAAAAAAATATATTTTTCTTAACGGGTCATAATGGGTCATAACGGGTCGGGTCACTTTACCCGTTGGGTAAAGTGACCCGACCTGTTAAGGACCCGTTAAGATAACAGGTGTGACACGACACGACCCGTTAAGATAACAGGTGTTACACGAAAACGACACGAACACGACAGACACGACCCGTTTGCCAGGCCTAGTGGTAGACTGGGAATATTGGGTGAGACAAAAAGGTTCTTCAGACCATCAAGTTTTGCTTCCCCTTACCTTGGTACCAGGAATATTGCCTGCTCCTCTTGTTTTGTTCATGCCTTTGGTTTGCCACCAGACCAGCTCACCCACAAAACACACACACATAAAGCATAACTGCATATAAACTATATACAACTTATATAGAATTATAGAAAGAGCAAATAGAATCTTGGAGTGTGTGCGCATTGCGCACCATGTCGTGTCCTCCTACTGTGGCGAATCGTTTTGCAACTGCCACACACACACACATATATATATATATATATATATATATTATACGCACATGTATATATACGTACATTCGTTGGGACAAGTGTTCCTTTCTTATGTCTTTTTTTATTGGGTACGGTATGATTCGTTTGGAAGTGCTTTTAAAATGATTGAAAGCGTGTTGACGAAAACGTTTTTGAAAGAAATCCTAAGCAAAAATGCAAGTGAATATTGGAAAGACATTTAAAGCGCTTCCCGAACACAAAAAAAGCAAGTGAACCCCAATCCAGATTTACAGTCCCAGAGAGAGCGAGAGAATTTGTTGGCATGGCACATGTAACTTGCAAATTTGAAAGATCTTTATCAGGATAAGATGGTGTTAATTGGGTAGAAGTATTCAAAATATTCAGAAGCCCAATTTAAGATTTTGGGCCATAGGCTTAGGTTTGTATTTATCCTCTGCCAAACAGTTTTGGGACGGATCAGCCCGGAGTCCGATCTCAAGCCAGGCCCATACCAAATAAACTCATAGGTCTAATAAGCCCTCGGAGTTGGCCCGACCGCTGTAATAGGTGAAGATTAAGATACATCCAGAGTTCGATTCGCTCCAATTTAGACAAAAGAAGCTCGTATGTGTAAAATGACACTAGTTTGGACGTCGAACATTTCTCTATAATTTATCAATTTCGATACAGAAGGTTGGATGAAAGTACAATGGAGATACAAATGCCTTAAACGGTTGAAGTGAATTCAGTGGACTCAACTCCCTCTCGACTTGGACAGTCCAGTTTTGAGGTTAGAGAAGTAAGATCTGTACCTCTGTGCTAATCCAAACAAGCCTAGAGTGCCTCCAGTGTGAATCATCACCACCGTTGCACCTCCTTCTGCTTCCTGTTCACGAAGGATTGTTGCCATCTCCCACGCAGCGAGTGTATACACTGGATCCACCAAAATACCGGTTTGTTGTGCAATGTGTTGGCATGCCTCTACTTCCCCTTCTAAAACATTGCCAAACCTGACAGATATAGGGCAGGGTTTAACTTATATTACGGAAAACAGATGAATACATAAATGAAACATTGTAGAAGCTGTGGAGAGGATGACAGGCTACTCACTTTCTTGGATGGCGACGTTCTACCCAGTGCACAATTCCTTTATCCATTTCATCGAAGCAGCTGTCAATTTGAGAACCAAAATGCCTCTTGAAATCGGAAATCAAGCGCTTCTCCTGATGTTTATACCCGTCAACTGTATCAGCTAGCATCACTGCGGTAACCTCCCATGGAAGCCTGACAGGACGAAAAAGAAATAGTTTAAATGCGGCAATAGATAAAAGTCTGCTTGCACAAGAAGCTATGTTATTTAGATGACATTTTTAACATGTTTGAGAAATAATACGTATGAGAACATACCCCAAACATATGGCTCCAAGTGCTAAACCAACAGCAGTTGTCCCAGTTCCAGAATCTACAACAAATCTCAAGGGCCTCTCTTTCCCAAGTAAGTGATTCTGGGATAAGTACTGCACTAGGCGAATCAGACCTGAGAAAACAAATTAGGAGAAAGCAAGATTGAGCCGTCAACGATGTGTGAAATTGCAGACATGAAACAAGAAGCAGGAATGTTGGGGGATTGGATTCAAAAATCAGATGTGCTTACTGACATCCAATAACTATGTAACACCCCCTCCCCAATTAAAAGAATGCGGATATGTATACATGGAACCAAAAAGAGGTTTATTTATTCCTAAAAGTTAGGTTACCTAGTAATGCTACAACATCTCCTGCACCTTCGTTAACAATTGCAATTTTACGAGGACGGTCACTCCTCCAAGCATCCTTTTGCAAAAAATTCTGAGAACCATCATCTTCTCTCAAAGAAGCCTCCAAAATATCATCAAACCATACGACACTACTACTACTGCCTGCCAAATCATCAGCATGGCTCTTTAGCATCTTTTCCCTGTTGGCATACAGAGATCTCGGAACATATGTGACACTGCCATACACTGTTGAAATCAAGTTATAGCCGGTCAGTATTTCTGGCTGCTCCCCTCGTAGAAGCAAGTGTGGTTTTAGTCCTCTCTCTGAACATGAAACAGCTGCAAAACACAAAAATCGCCATATATGAGCAAGGATGCACATAGCTCTTTACACCAAAAGAAGCATGTCTGAGAGAGCAAGATTATCAGAGACTATATCCCATAGTAATTGCAGCTAGAAACTACCTACCAACAGCTGCTGTATGTGCGCTTTGACAGCCTCCGCATGTGACCTACATAAACAAAAAAACGTAGCTGAATGCCATTTGGTCTCAAAAGGAATTCAAATTCAACAAATCACAAGTTGACTATTGAGTTTGCATGATGCAATGTAATCATCCCTCACAATCTTAGAAGGATCAGAATCTCACCACATCAGTCACGGAATGATCTTCCACGAGGGGAATCAGCGCGTCCAACTTTCGCGCCTTATTACCATTTATCAAAGGATGCAACAAATCATCCCTCACAACAAAAAAAGACGGTTCTTGATCATTCTTGCTCATCATAAAAGATGGGTTGGTAATGTTGGAGAAGGAAACATCAGACAAGGCTTTGCCTGGCTCTGCTACTTTGTTGCTAGAAAACACTATTTGGTGAATTTTGGCATCAGGGGCAGGCAATGCCCATCTTCTATCAAGCAATTTTGACACAAAATCTCCACCACTCAAATTCAAATTGGAAACACACTGCCAAATTGGGGGTAAAAATAAAACACTCATCAATCTGCAATCGTCAGGAGTGAGCAACACACATTGCAACAGTTTAATTAAAATCCCAAGTCATGAGCATGCCCGACCGATTAAATTAAGCAAAGGGTTTTCGTTTTAATCCAACTTTAATCCAGAACTAATATGCAAAATCCAAAACTTAGTCCAACCCATTACTTGCAACAGAAAGCTTAGCCTAGCTTCAATGGTGAGAGATAGAGAGAGAACCTGAATCCGACGGCCTTTCGAAACGACGCCGGAGTGAAAGCCGCGGTTAATTGCTGCCGAAATCGCGCTCTTACTGGTAAAGCATTCAACTTTCATCCTCATCGCACCAGCAGATAATTGAAAGGGGATGATGAACTGGAGTTTATTATTAACCGTACGATGACAAGCCGTAAAGATCGAATGGCGGGAAATGGGTTTAGGGTCCCACCGGGTTCAAGGTTTTATCAAATTTACCGTCTCATCTAACACTAAAACCCCCCAAAAATGAATCCTCGCCGCGCCAGTATCAGAACGTCGCCGGAGGAGCTCTCTCTGAGTCGGGTCGGGGCTCCGAGAAGATGAGGTTGCCCGCGCTTCAGTGGAAGATGAAGTGCGACCCGGCAGAAGGCATGGAAATGAGGCCCGTCGTCAATCTTTCTTTTATTTTTCCATACACTATTCAGTTTCATGTAAATTGTTCGAATGCTTGTGCAGTTTGAACTTTGAACACACGATACATGTAATGGTAAACGCTCTTAACCACGTAACGCCCGATCTGATAGGCAATGCCTATTTCTAATGAGTCTCAACAACATTTATTTACATTTCACCCTCCTTTTGACGAAAACTAAATTCACCACGTGACATGCGTTTACTGGATGAACAGTTCACTTTTTAAACTCGTAACATCACTTTTTAAACACGTAACATCACAGTATAGTTTTTAACCAAATCCGAGTAAGAATTTTACCATGAAACAAAGAATGCTCCAAAGTGGAACATTAACGCTGACCAGGAGGAGCTCCATGGGCGATGTCATGTCCCAAATGAAGGCGTCGAGAAGACAGAAACCATTAGCAAACTATCATTACGGCCCCAAGGGTTTTTTTCTATACAACACAGCCTACATTAAACTCGGATTTAGGGTGGAAGAAGCGAAAGATAACCGTAATCTAATACAACAAAGGTCGGGCCAAGAGATGCCTTACTCTTCACCAGAACACGAAGGCAAATCGCTACGCTGGCCAAAAATATCAGGAATTCCATCCCAGTTCTTCTCCCTAGTTTCCCAATACCCTCCCACATAACTATAACAACCCTCCTCGTCTTTCCGAAACCATCTTGGCTGCCACCCTCTCTCTTGCAACTTTCTTGCCTGCACAAAATTATCAACAGTTGCTAAATACAATTTCAGAATAGAATAAAAGTTTACAAATAAATTACACTGCCTACAGAAGCCCATCAATTCCCCGAAAACACCAGGGAAATGGCTTTAGCTACAAATTCAGTTTAGAGCTGAGTCCTGAATCTCAAACTCTCAAGATTATAGGCCAGATATGAGATTGAAGTCATTTTCATTTCAATTAAATTCAAGCGGACATTAGGCTCGCAATTAGAAGCAAGAACGCATGAAAAGAGGAAGATGAATGGATGAATAATGGATCAAAAGGAGAAAGAGGATGTACAGGGGGTACCTGTCTTTGAAGCTGTTCAAGTCTTAGCTTCTCTGCATTTGCCAATTCATATTCACCATTCTCCAAATGCCTTTGATCTGGCCTTAGCCTTGAGTCCGTCGGCGGTAACTTCTCCAATAAGCCAGGTGTCAGTTCATTAAGGGAAATTGCAAAAGGGGAGAAATTGTATCTTGTCTTGGTAACATAGTCATCTCTTTCCCAGAGAAGCACAGCCTCTGTCATTGGATCATAACCATTTGGTTTTGTAGTTGGATCTCCCAGCACATAGTACATTGCCTCGTCCCACTTACCCACCAACATTGCTACATTCTCTCCAGTTCTATTGTCTTGAACAAATCCATGAACCTGAAATTTCATGAATTTATGTAAAGCCCAGCAATGGCTAAAAACTAAGCGTAACATAAACATGAAAATCGGGCCGCCCTGGGGAGAATTTAGACTTTAGCTAACCTGATGTGGATTTCGGTCTATGATAGACTGCTCCTTGAACTTCAGCTTGCAGGAATAATTGCCACTGCCCCTGATGCGCATGGTGCCGTAGTGGTCACAATAAATTTTTCCTAGTATGATATTGTATATAGAGGTAGTGACCTTGCTCCACTGAAATGTCTCCCCGTCCTCAAACTGCAAGGAAAGGGTACCCACAGGATCAAGCTGAATAGAACGCCCCCAAAACTTGCCTTTGAGATTGGATTCCGCCCAGAATTTCCAACCTCTTCCTTCACAATGACAAGCAACAACCATTGGGTGGTGACTCACCTGAGTGCAAGCTCATCCTTGTTAGCCAACAATCAATGGTTCATAAACATTTGACAATTATCTGTGATGCTTCAAATTCAATGAGTCCTAACAACACAAAGCAACAAAGAGGCTACTTTTATCTTTTACCGTTCTTTATACTTAATGGACAGAAATCCATTCAAAAGGGTACTACTAGACATCAATACTAGAAAATTTGACAACGTGCATAACCTTTTCAGAGAAAAAACGAAGTCCTTTATCTGGATAGTCAGCCTCATAGGTCTCCCCGAGGAGAGGATTAAAGGGTTTGCACTGCCGACCTTCTGTTGATGCATAGCCAGATACAGCAAAAGCTGCAACGTTTAGAATTCTCATTAAATCATTCCCCTGCACCACATGAAGTCCAAATTAATTTGAATACTATGAACAACACTCCCTCAATCCAAATTAATTCATGTCCCAAAGTTCAGACAATTAGGTGATGCATAGAAGGGTACAACAGAGGACCTTACCTGCTTTCCCCATTCTGATGCTCGATCAACCAAGTTTGAATATTCGAGATCTTCAAAGCACTTTTGCAACGATGAGAGTGGTTCATTAAAATAAACAGGAAGACAAACTCCAGACAAGTCCTTCCCAATATTATCCTTGATAATCGACCACAAGCCAATATGCTTCTCTTTCTCCTTGGGTTCTGGCAAATCATCCCTCCTTTTCACATATGGATATTTAATTGTCTTGATCTCCTCAACTCCATGCAATCGACCAGAAAAGAAAGAATCTCTTTCAAATATACAACCATTTCCCAAACCTTCCTTGCTCCGACAGGAAGCACTTCTTTGAGCATCTGAAGACAAAATAATTCATATCAAATTATGTTTCTTTAATTAATCAGAAAGAAAGATTCTCTATCGTATACCATTTCCCAAGCCTTCTCTACTCCGATAGGAAGCACTTCTTAGAGCTTCTGAAGACAAAATGTCATGTGTATCGAAATATGTTCCTTCATCTTCGTCTGTTTCAACATCTGCCCCATCTTGACTTTCGTTATCTGCATCGGAATCACTTGCACTGCCCTCAGATAAGACGGAGTAGAAATCTGTGGCATGAGCAAAACCATAATACAATCAAAACTAAAGGTCAAATTTAAATTTTCATGATAATAAATCAGAAACTGTGTATGTGGCTTGAAACCTTTCCAGTACTACCGACACTTAAATCATCATTATACATCTCATATGTGAAAACAATGAGTTCAACAAAATACTATGATAATGGAAAGATAACTGACCACTAAATCTCCCATTCCCCTGTCCATATGACTCACGCTCCTTTGTTTCATCCACTACTGTAGTTTCCAGCTCTATTTTTTCTGTCTGCAAAAGGAAATTTAGATAGGGATTTACTTTCCGACTAGCAAGCTTTCCACCACCCCTTATTGCGGCACATGTATAAAGCAGAAACTTAGTGATTAAATGCATGGAAATACCTCTAATTGCCTCAATGACTCCAACAGCATCACATGTTTACGCCGAAGACCCTTCAACTGATTTTGAAGCTCTGACACTTCTAAGAGCATAATTGACTCGCAGTCTTTGATCACCGGCTCACCAATTCCCTCCTGTGCTAATCTTAGTCTTAGCTTCTCTGTTGAAACAACTATATCTTCCGAAGGTACCAAATCATTGCTCGTAAACACTCTAGGGAAAAGATCTTTAGCACCCAGCAGTGCCTCGATCCATGTAGCTCGGTCCTCTCTGGTCACACACCGCAAATGAAGAGTTTTAGTTCCTGTGAATATGGAAAGCCGTTTATCATCTGATTTGCTGGCACGAATTGAAGAGACCTGTAAACCAGACCACTTCGAATTCAGTAACCAAAAACCAAAAACTCAAAAGTACAGACCGTGCGCATTCGAGCACGCATTTTTATGCATCATCAAACAAAACACAAGCATTCGTCTCAACGTATTCGAGTTTTTGTTGGTCCTTCAAGATTGATGAATACTTTTGGTGGGTATCAATCAATGTTTTATAAAAATTCCATGAAAAGTGTAGGAATATTAAACATTTTCTGTAGCTTTCGAGTCCCCCCACTCACATTACAAATATACAAACTCAGCAAAAGGCCCCAGATAATCCCAAAAAATAAACTCAATGCATACATACTTCTCATTTGCTAAATATAGCATCAGCTAAAAATAGCATTTCTACTATATCCCAAACAATGGCTTCACATTTCTGTGATAAGCAAAAGCTCATACCTTCAAATGCACTTCTCCGAAAGGCTTCCACGGCCTCGCCGCCGGACCTCCGAGCCGATTACTGCCCCAATTCGCCTTCTTCATGTACCTCAGCGAGTTCTCTCCGATCACCCTCAATCCCTTCTCTCTCACCTGGCTAACCAAAATCTTGTCCGGTCCATGAACCTTGTAGTACGAAAACACGCCGTCTTCGAGCACAAACCACCGCGACCGCCACCCCTTCCCGTAGTTCACCCACTTGTACAAAATCCCAGCCAAGCTGCCGCACACGCCGCCGCCAAACACCTTCGAATCCCTAGCTTCGCTGATCGTATCCTCAACCTCGTGGCCCGCGGCGGCGGAAGCCCTGTCCGATTCGGTCCCGGCCGACGAGACCTGAGCCGAGTAGCTCGGCTTCGAGCCGTAGCTGACGTTCCGGATCGGAGCCTCCGAGGCTACCTGGCACTGACCCGACTGCTTGGCAGCCACCGGCGTGCCCCGGTCCCGATCGATCGAAACCGGCGCAATGCAGCACAGCGGGTTCATCTTCAACCCCAATCAGACCATCCAATCAGACAAAAAACGAATCAGATCCTTGCAATCCTTATCCCATGCACATGCAGCGCCGATCACACAGCTCCGATTTGTAGAAATGCAGGACCCGATCCGAAGCGAAAACGAACCCGTTTCGGAAATGACATAAAATTCTCGGAGCTTCTGGTTCTAGAGAGAGAAAGAGTTATGGAGAGCTCCACTCACACAGATCCATTCAGACACTTCTGCTGCAGCTGCTCAGTACTTACATATTTAAATAACTTTAATTAATTTAATTAACAGCTAAAAATTGGCGTGATTTAAATAATTAATGGCGCAATTAATGTAAATGCATGGGGTTTGGTTTATGGGTTTTTGGGTTGGGGAGGCATAATTGTGGGTGGAGGCAGAGCGGGGACAGCTAACGTGCGCGTTTGTGCGAAGCTGCTAGTGATTGCTGTTGTCCGGTGGGAATTATGAATATCCCTTGTGAAATTACGCCACTACCCTTGTATGTTTGGCGGGTGTGTAGTGAGTGGATGGGGATGTTTTGGATAATTCGGAGGCTTTTGAAAGCGACGAGTGAACGGACGGACCGGGGTGTCCGTGGAGGGAACGGGGGAGTGGTCGGGTGGGCTGGAGAGCATCGTGGACGGTGGAGCTTCGGGGCAGTTGGCCAATCGATGTGCTTACCGCGAGTGGCTGTTGTTGACTTGCGATCAATATGTTCAAATTTGGGCTCATTAGATCGGCTGTCATCATGTCGTGGCAGAAATTTTTCAATGTGAACGAAACACAACAATACACATTACATAATTGGAGAGAAATTTTTTTTCTCTAATTGTATAATAACATGTATAGTTTCCTCAATTTTAACTCAATTAAAGTAATAATTTCTCAAGTAAAAATTTGTAGTCATTGATCACTTAACTCATCGGAATTTGCAGACACTGAACTCTGTTAAAATTTTCTTCAACATACCACTCATTTTAACTTTTTGAAAAGCATAGAAAATGCGTTCCATAATTCCATTTTATTTGATTGATCAGTGGATCCACTAACCAACTAATTGACAAAATTAAGGTAATGATTCGATTTGCAGCACGATTAGACCTCAAAGACGACGACAATACAGTTTGTTGTTAGGAAAGGGGACAACTTGCGGCCACGTGGTTGGTTGGTTGGGCCTTTGAGGCCCACGTTCGAGGGTTTCGGGGTGGGCTATGTCTAGTGGGACCAAGGCCTGTACGAATTGTTATATGTTGGCCCAGCCAATTCTAGCTTTGTCTTTGCTTTTTCAACTTTATTTGTAAAATTACCTTCCTTGGAGGGACAAAATTAACTGCACCAGTCACCGCCCCCCTTAGCACTAGTCTTTTAATGATATAATAAATAGGCACCCCTACCTAAGATGAAAACCACAATATACATGACAAAACTTTTCCGATATCACGTTGTATTCACTGTAACGTGAAATATATTATAGTTTTAGATTTTGTGAAGTACTTTGTGTGCTTTTTCACTTTTACTTTCGAATTTGGAATATCGTCTTCTAATAGTGAGAACAAATTTACGATTAAATTAATAGCTAGATGATAAGTTCGTATAAATAATGATTAATACTTGTCGAGAGAAAAAAAAATCACCTTCCGTCGTTGGCTCCTGTTTTGACCATGTGGTCGGCGGCCATCATTCATAACAATCTTTCTTGATCCCTTTCTTCTCCCCTTTTATTTTACTTTGATCATCGGTGCCGAATCGTCATCATAAAACGCTATAGTCGCTAGTATTCTAGTTTTTAGCACACATACACATCCAACACAAGGTATTGGCTCTAGTTGGCAATGGCAGCTTCAACATGGATTTGGAGATGCACAAAGTGTGGAAGTTGTCGAATTGCATAGGTTAGGGTTTAGTCAATACAGTACTATTGGTTTAGCCAGTACGGTGCTATGACTCACTTCGGAATGCGGAGAGGATGTGGGGCGGCGGTGCTATTTGGTTCTTTAGTTTTGATTCTGTTTTTTAATAATTTTCATAAACTTTTTTGGTTCTAATTGTTTTCTTTAGGAAAGTTTTGTTCTTTTTTATTTTTGTGTTGGATCTCTTTCATATCTGTGCGTAGAGGTGGAGCTGCAATAAGTTGAAGAGGAAGACTCTCACCATAAGAGTAATCCACCACTTATAAGAAAAATATTAGTTTTGTATGTATTTTGCTCGAAGCTAAACAATTCATATCAATAAAATAAAATTCACAATGATCCGTACAAAATGTCTCGAAAAAATTTTAACTTGCAAAAATTTGTCACACATTATACTGATACTATTTAGTGTTTGCATTCAGAAAATTCACATGCACTGTACTTTTTTATATTAAAAAATACGAAATAAAAATTTTAGAATGTCAATACAACACCTACACATTAATACACAACTCAGTTGTGGAGCCAAAAATAATCACAAAACGACATGTGAATTTTTGGGTGAAGATGATAAATTTACCCTCGAGGCATACCGTTTTTCTCTATTTTCTAGTCCATTTAAATATTTTTCATACGTTCTTATTATTAGATTTTTTTTATTTGCAAAGGTTCTTTGATAAAACGTATAAGAAAATATAATGGCTAGAAATTTAGAAAATTTCATAAGTGAAAATTTCAATACTCAAAAAATGGGATTGCGGAGATCCATGAGGCAAAATGCGATTGTAAGCAGAGTGGCACCACCACTACAAGGTTCCACCATGGCCCAAGCCATGCCATCCAAGCTTGCACGGGCCCGAGCCCAAGCCTCGCATTCGCATGCACCACGCATTGAGCAACCTGCTTCAGTGACCCAGCCTGCTCCACCAGGGTCCCGACAAACAACCCTTAACCAGCCACGTTTCAAGAGTTCTGGCAATTTATGCTCCCTCCTGGGTCATTGGGATAACGTATACTCTCATCTTAGCGCGCGGAGGAGCATGCATTCCCAATCAAGCCCACGGATGAGCATACGTTCATGGTTGAGGTCACACTCCGATTATTAACATGGACAATATTCCAGGCGAAATGTTCATTCACAACTAGGCTTGCAATGAGCATTTTCCACCTCACATCGGAGTAGGCAGCACGACAGACGGAGAGAAGCAGTCACCCAATCCAACTTAAGTTCAACCAATAGCCTACAAACGGCCCGTTCGCTTGCCAGCTACATACACCGCAACCGAGACATGGACAAGTCGAGCATAGGAAAGAGTGGCCTAGACCCATAGGTCACGATTGGAGGCAGCCGAAAGTTCCACTGCCCCAGTAAAGGCAAATTCAAGAAGAAGTTGAGAGACTCATAACCGAACGATTGCACAATTTCCAACATAACAAGGCTGATGACGATGCGCTTCGACAAGACATGACTAACATAAGCATGTCACCATTCACGAATGAGATCGAGCGGACAGATCCACCTCGCGAGTTCACTATGCCTCACTTCATTCTGTACAAGAGAGACGAAGATCCAGATCGACATCTCAAGCACTACTGCAGTACAATGATCCTCTACAGGAACAACGATGCTCTTATGTGCAAAATTTTTGCCACAACTCTACAAGGCGAAGCGCAAGACTGGTTTCACACTCTACTGCCGCAATCGATCCGGAGTTTCAACGAACTTTCCTTTGTTTTCACTAAGGAGTATTCGTCTAATCGCTCAATCAAAAGGACATCTAACCATCTCTTCAGCATCGTAAAAGACCATTGGGAGACAATTCGCGACTATGTCAAGAGATTCAAAGCGGAGAAGGCCAAGATTGTTGGTTGTAACGAAGACATACCAACAACAGCATTCAAAAATGGACTTCCTACTGAACATCCTTTATTCGGAAAATTGATCATGAGAGAAGAACTTACCCTAGCAAATTTGTATGCTTTGGCAAAAAAACATGTACTATGGGACGAGGCCAAGCAGTCTAACAAAAACTAGTCGGAAAAGAAGCACATGGAATGTTCCCAACCAGAGAAGACTCAGCGCCTGAAACATTCACCAAATTCACAGTTCCAATTGGCCAAATTCTCTGCAAGCTCAAGAACGAACCTTGGTTCGAACTGCTGCCACCCATGAAAGGTGATATTACCAGGCTGGATCATACAAAGTATTGCGTATTCCATCAAGGACCAGGCCACACTACCAACGGCTGCCTGAAGTGGAAGCTGTATCTTGAGAAGCTGATAAATGAAGGCCGATGTGATGAGTATCTTGACAAGTCAACGAAACGGCCTACACCAGCAAAGGAAGTCTCCATCACCCCCTAAACCTCATTTGGGTTTTTTCCAAATAAGATTGAAGTCTCAAGCAGCTCGACGAACAAGGCTTCACAAGCCGAAGATTATCTAGTTTGTTATGCAGTTTCTGCCTTCCAGCACAATTGATTTATTTCTTTATTCTCAATGAAGATTCAAGAAGTTATTCACAAGCATGGCTTAACTGCTGTCCACAACGACTGCTAAAAACCTATACGGGTTCGCTCTCTAGTGCGAGAGGATAAACTAATTGCTCCCCAGTGCGATAGCGTAAACAAATTTCTCGACACCCAAAAGGGTATACTCTCCAGTGCGAGATGATAAACTAATTGTTTTCTAATGAGAGAGGGTAAACCAATTCCCTGACACCCAAAAAGGGCCGCTCTCCAGTGCGAGAGGATAAACTAATTGCTCTCCAGTGCGAGAGGGTAAACCAATTCCCCGACACTCAAAAGGGTCTGCTCTTCAATGCGAGAGGATAAACTAATTGCTCTCTAGTGCGAGAGGGTAAAATAATTACTTTCCAGCGTGAGAGGGTAAACTAATTGCTCTCCAGTGCGAAAGGGTAAACTAATTCTCCGACACCCATCTGGGTAAGCTCTCCAGTGCGAGAAGGCCACATAGCTTAAAAGATCGAATGCTTAAATATCAACTAGGCAGCAAATGGTCAGGGGCAGCATCCATTTTTGCACTTAACAGTTCACTCATCCAACACTTCATCTTCAGCAGCTCCGATCTTGGCAGCTTTATCCTTGACTGCTCCATCTATGGCAGTTGAGAAATCAAACTCAAGCAGTTTCCTCATTTTTGGCAAGCAGCCCTGACATGGCAACCTAAACCGTTGCCCATGCCACGCCACTTCCTCGGCCCGTGCCAAGTTAATCATTGACTTCAATCAAGCCGAGCAGCACAAGTAATGGCCCCTGCCACACCACCTCTTGGCCCATGACAAGCTGACTCCTGGCCCTTGCCAGCTGACATGCGCGCACCATCCCGACGACTGCCCTGTGGCAGCACCTCCCAAGAAGAAGACAATGAGAATTAAGTTTTTATTACATTGGTGCGGCATAGAGAAGACGAAGAAAGCAACGAAAGACGATTATTTGCACGTGCAAGATGTAGAATATTGCTAGAGGAGGGGGA